TTAATTTAGTGGTATCTTCTTCCTTAGAATTCTTAACACCCTGTTCTACATCTATAGCCTAAATCCTAGGGGGTTTAGGGCAGTTACTAGAGAAGTGCCTAGGCTTTCTATAATTATAGCAAGTTACTAGGGTTCCTATTATAGTAGCGCTAGGAGTAGCTAGTGTAGTAGATAGGGGTTAATTATTTTAAGGGATAGTGCCTTATTATTATAAGTAGGGCATATAAGGTTTAGCTATTAAAGGTCTATTATAGGGTTTCTAATTAGCGTCTAAATAGGACTAGTTTCTAAAGTGTTAGAAGGGAGTTAGTCCTTTTCTAGATAATAGGGTAGTCTAGGTAGGAGTAGATAAGGTAGAGTATAGGCAGCGTTCTATATTAAAAGTAGTAAGATAATCTACTATAGTCTTAAAATTATTGTGCTAATTCTATTAGAAAGCAAGGTTTAGTATCCTTAGGGAAGGTGTAATCTTTATCTAGAGGTAGTAATACTACTCTAATTAGGGTACTTCTCCTCTAATAGCAAGACTCTAGAATTATAACTTAAAGGCAGGGAACGTCTCTATATTAGTTATGTATAGGCGGTTAAATACAGTCTAACTCTTAGCTATCTTATTTCTAGTAATAAAGTAGGTTTAAAGGAGGGTAATTATTTCCTTAGCTTTTTAGAACTAAAGGCTTAGGGAATTAGATAGGTAACGTGGCTCTAAGTATTCTCTTGCTAGTCCTAAGCAGTGTCCCTAGACTAACGCTATCTAAGCTCTAGAAGAGGGGTAGTAATTAGCGTTAATCTCTAGCCTATCCTAAATAGATGCTTGCTATTATCTAAAAGTAGGATTAGCACTATTACTAAGTATAGAGATATTTAGCGTCTTTTTAGATTATCTCTTAGCTTTTATAGCATATACTATAGGGTTTAATATAGAAGCTAAAGACTAGCTAGGTTAGATAGTACCCTATATCTCCTTATAGAGGGAGGTGTTATACAACTAATTAGTAAGTTGTTTAACTTGTTCCTCTAACCTCTCCTTTTTAGATAGGGTTAATATGTATTTATCTTTAAGGGAGGTGTTGCTTTAAGATTTCCTAGGAGCCTAAGGTACCTTAAGAGACGGATAGGAAGAGGGTCCTTCTAGGAGGGCGTTGTTAATTAAGTCCTCCTTATCTAATTTCTTTCTATTAGTGAATAGGCTTTTAAAAGTAGCTAAACTAGATACCCTTCCTTTACCTTTATCTAATATTTTGTAGTTAATAAGAATAATAAATCTTTTCTTTTCTTTTAGGGGGTTTAGTTATAGGAGGATATTAGCTTTGCCTCTGATTCCTCTAGGCTTTTGGTAGTCTCTGGGTCTCTACCTTAACGCAATCTAACGCGATTTTTCTAAAGGTAATCTAGCACTACCTATAGGTCTAGAAGTCTAAACCTATAGGCTTTGGTTGTTAGAAGTTCTAATAGCTGTTCTAACTGTGGAGTTACAGGGTTAGGTAGCTACTAGAACTGAATTGGTAGCTTAAAATAATAACAAGTGCGATATTCTTGAATGCTGTTACTAGCTAGGATAATGTTCTTCTTATAATATAACAACTTAGGTAGGTAGGGCATCTAAAAGGTATCCTATATAACTTAAAGGCATATAGGAGTGCGCGTCTATATAGAAAAGGATAAGATTTCTACACCTATAGGTCTTGTACAAAAGGACAAGAAGAACATACCTATCCTAACCATAGGCGAGCTATTCTCTATATATATCAGTGAGTTGGGCCTTTATTAGACTAGACTTAGCATAGAATAATAGGCAGGCAATTCTGCCTTATTGTTACACTAGAGAAACTAAACTATAAAGACGCCTTATCCTTTACTACTTAGATACATAACGCCTAGAAGATTGCTAAAGAAAATATAGAAAGAGCTTAAGACTAAATACGCTCTGCTACTAATCGCTATTACTATCTAGTTAACTAGAAGATTAGTAACTATATTTATCTATCTACTACTAATCTTACTATTTTATAACCTAGCTAAAAACTATCTAAATAATAGGAAGGTCCCTTTAAGGTATTAGAACAAGTAGGAAACGCGTATTGCCTCTAATTACTACCTAGTTCTAAGATCTATAACGTTTTCTCTCCTAATATACTATACAAAGATCCCTAAGACCTATTACCTAGACAAGAGGCTCTAAAACCCCCTAGTACCCCTATACAAGGTGTAGAGGAATAGGAGGTAGAAGAAATCCTAGCTAGTAAATTATACTAATCTAAGCTAAAATATAAGGTTAAGTAGGTTAGACATAATCCTAATCCTATTTAGTATCCTACCTCTAACTTTATAGGTGCTCCCTATAAATTACAGGCATTCTATTAATAGTATCTAAATTAGCTAGGTCCCCTACGCAGCTTACTAAAATAGATTTAAGCCTAGGAAAAAGGTAAAGAGGATCTAATATTACTTTATAATAATCACGCCTAATACTAGAACTAATTTATATCCTATTTAGCTACGTATTATCTATTAACTACTATTTATTACTATTATTCTTATTACTATTTATTATTATATCCTATTTAGAACCTTTAAGGTTCCTAGGATACTACCCCCTAGGAAAACCTCTTTATTCTATATCTATCTCTCTATTAGAACCTAGTTTAGACTCTGTATTAGCTAAGATAGCGCCTAGACTATCCTTCTTTGCTAGCTTCTAGATAACTAGTGCAGTAGGGATTAGGGCGGGTGCAAGAGTAGTAGTAGGAGCTAGAGCTAATTTAGACGCTTTCTTATAAAACGTTTTTATCTTAGCCTAGACTAGGAAAGTTGCCTCCTAATTTAGTACTAATTCCTCCTTAAGCTTATTAATAGCCTTTATTAAGCCCTTAACTACTAAGACTATCTTATAAATACTATTCTAAAGCTAATATAAATTAGATATAGTAGTATAATAGGTAGCTATAAGGATTTTAGTAGCTTCTATACCCTTAGTCTAAGTATTAGTAATAGTAACGCACTTAGTAAGGTTTTAGGTAGTTTCTTAAATAGTAGCCTTAAACTACTTAATATCCTTCTAATAGGCAACTATAGCTTCCTTATCCTTATCCCCTTTAGTAGGGTTTCTAATTAGGCTATAGTATTCTTCTAGAGCACCCCTAAGGGTAGAGTACTCTTAGCTAATAAAAGAAGGAATCTACTAGGATTAGTAAAGGAACCCTATTAGACTTAGACACTTACTAGATTATAATACTTATTCTAGGAGATATAGTACTAGCACTTCTTAGAATTCTTTAACTTAAAATTAAAATTATTAAACCTGCCCCTAGCTAGAGCCCTAACTGCTCTTATATAGAGAGCGCGATAAGTAACTAGGAGAACTCCTAGTAGTACTAGTACTAGCATAGCTAAAGGTTCTAATTTAGATTAGCAACTATTTAATTATATAGATTAAATACTTACTAGATTTTAGATAGATTAGGTTAAATAATTAAAAAATTAGGGATATAGGAGTAAGAAAGTTAGTAGGTAGAGAGCTAGTTATAGGCAGGCTAGGGATAGGGGTCTGTGCCCTAGGAAGAAGAAGTAAAGATAAAGGCAGAGGTAAAGGTGGATTTATTTTGCAAAAGCTCTTCTTTAAAGAGGGATCTAAACCTAATCCTAAGGATAGGGACTATCCTTTCTCTATAGGAGGGGGTAGTGTAATAATAAGGTAGAATTGCCTACCTATTATTCTATACTAAGTCTAGTCTAATAAAGGCCTAACTTACTAATATATATAGAGAATAGCTTACCTATAGTTAGGATAGGTATATTCTTCTTGTCCTTTTGTATAAGACCTATAGGTGTAGGAATCTTATCCTTTTCTATACAGACGCGCACTCCTATATGCCTTTAAGTCGTATAGGATACCTTTTGGATGCCCTACCTACCTAAGTCGTTACAATTATTTGTAAGTAGTAGAAGGGCTACTCTAAGTTTATATTCTAGGGCTGCTTTTCTTATAATTATAAGGGCCTATGCTACGTCTAGTGCCCTAAGACTATATAGGAGAAGAGAGAAGCAGCTCTAAAGATTAAAGAGATAAATAAGACTCTTAAGCCTATTATAAGATAGGAGTAGGAGCTTATTACTAGTATAAAGAGGACAGGATTAAGGAATAAACTAGGCAAGACTCTATAGTAGAAATAGAATAAAAAGAATAGCAAGCTCTCTTGTAATAGTAGAGGAGGTATAGATTAGTGGCGCTACTAGAGTTAAGTTCTAATCCCTAAGCTTATCCCCTTTACTAAGGAGTGTAAGAAAGAGAGACTATATACTATAGTTTAAGAGGATAAAGCTCCTTTATATACCTACTATACCTAATAACTAGTATATAAGAGAGAGGGAGTAGAGAAGCTTCTCTAGTGTAGTAATTTACCTAACCTTAACGCTATTAAAGTAGCCTAGCTATAGCTTAAGCGGAGAACTACTAGGAAGGGCGCTCTTAAGAGTAGAGTAGAGGGTACAAAAGCATGGTTAAAGGCTTAGGATAAGCTACCTTAACACTAAATCTAGGCTTAGATAGAGCGTATACAGTATTATATTCAGCAGATTATTAGACTAGAAGGTGGTAATAAGTATAAGGAGGGGCGGCGCGACAGAACAGTCTAAGCTTTGGTGGTATCACGGCGGTAATATAGACACCCCTGTCAGCAAGAACTTTTGAAAGCCACCTCCGTATAGGCAAGTCCAATTGAAACCCTGCGCGACGTTCAATAGCACTTAGAAAATAGTGGGTGTTGTAGTCATAGAGAACATCACAGTTGTAGTGCTACTTATTTCAGCGTTTAGAACAGAGACAAGGACAGATAGAAAAAAGGAACAACATATAAAGAAGTCGCATGTTATATAAAACGCCCCCAACCTGCCCAAATTCAAAGAAAGGTCTACGAATTGCCAGCCTCACACAACGAATTCAAAGTTGCAATTTCATCTCGCAGTTTCAATCCATGCATCAGAAATGAAGTCCGACCACCTCATTTGGTGACAACTCCGTCACGCTTCATCTGCGCCAAGAACTTACCAAACTCTGGCCCCATAATGGCAAACATTTCAAAAGCCAAAATGTGCATGATGACAAAGACAAGCCCAGAAACCATGATAAAGGTCTTCAGGTAGAGCTTGATGAGGCGACGACGAGCCTCCCAGTTGAAGCTGCGCCATGCATCCAAGAAGGCAACAACACCAGTCCCACCCATCATCTTCTCTACAACCTTTCCACCAAAGGTGCGGTCAAAAGGTACAATCGTGTCCTGGTCCTCTGGCAAAATGGATGCCTCGATGCGGACAAGAGTAACGATAGCAGGCAGACAAAGGAAAAGCGTGCAAAACACGGCAAAGATGAGGGTAGCACCCAGGCGGACAATCAGCGAAGTCCACTGCGCACACTTGTACTCGGCCAAGTTCTCGGACTCGAGCTTGTGCAGGTTGAGCATGTATCCGAAACCGCCGACAAGGTAGAGGCTAATATAGGGCATGGCTGCCTTGATAGCAGCTGGCAGGGCAAGGGTCTTCCAGTGAGCCTTGCTGGGGATGCGCTGCCAAATGGTCTTCTCGGTCGGCATGCTGACAATCTTGTGGGTCCAGACAGCGTGTACATTGGCAACAACGGCACCAGCGAGAGCGGCGATGAGGATCTCCATACCAGGAACTCTGGGAAGCGCGCCGGAGAAGAAGGCGGTCGCCATAGAGAAGAGGAAGGCGTACAGGGTGTAGAGACGGAAGCCACGGAAGCGCGCAAAGCGGCCGGCGTTTGCGACAAGGTGGCGAAGAGTGCCACGAATGCTGGAGGTGATGGGCTTCTGGTTGACGAGGGTAATGGTAGGGCCGGTCTCAAGCAGGCCTTCTTTCTCGTGCTTGTCACCCGACTCATGACTGGGGGAGACGGTGATGGCTGCGACGGGGGATTCGACCATGCAGAGCGTGGTGACGACTTCTTGGAGCATGTAGGAGACCTGTGGCAGCCTTGTCAGTCGCGCTGTCCAGCCAAGTGTGGGGGAGGGTTAAAGCATACCATGGTGACGATCAGGGCGCTCGAGAGGAAGCTCACGAAGAGCAGCACGGAGCCCCAGATCGGCATCTCAATCCTCTCGCTCTGGGTTTTCTGTCCACAGGCACGCTTGACAAAGGCCGCGGTAGCCGGGTGGGAGACGCCACGCTTCACCAGCTCGGTGAGGACAGCCATGTTGATCGTCGTTGCAGTCTTGTCGTCTTCGATGGGTAAAAAGGTATGGGCAGTGGCAATGAAGAAATGGTCGAGAAGTCACGACACAAAGGAAGGACTGCGTCGTGAATGTTGACGGGAAGGGAGAGGGATGAAGTTATGGCACAGGAGGCGAAGCAGCCAAAAAACAAGGAGGGTGACCTGACGTACGCCGACTGAGGGCCTGGGGGGCGTGAATGGTTGCCTAGCGCTCGGACCATCCGGAGACCGAGAGGGGCTACTTTCGTGTCCTGTGGCTACTATAATTGGCTTTCATCCCATCCTCTATCGGTTATCCTCTATCGATAGGAGGAGGCGTACTGTACCTGTCCTGTATCCTAACTTACTGTAATAGTCTACTATAGGCAGACAGAATCTCCCACCATTGATGCTTCTCCTCAACCACGCAAACTAGCTACACTGACAGTCCATTCACAAGCATATGGCGCACATGCAACGTATGTCGATGCATGGAGGACTGACTTGTCTACCTCCACACGTTGTGTGACCAGGGACTCGTAAAGGACCGTAAAGGACAGCATGGTCAAACAGCCTTTGCCTCATCACGGCGGCATCGTATCGAATTGCTGACTGGCGCTTGATATTGTATAGTTTGAATGAAACATTCGACCCTCAGTTGGCGGCCCGCTCGGCCTAAACTCTAACGCCGACTCCGTCTGTGGTCTATGAAGCATACCAACTTCTTTCACACCGATTCATCAATTCACATCCACAGCAACATCGAACACTTGATTGATAAGCAACGGCTTCATAGGCAATAGTTCACAATTCCTCCTTAGTGGCCCACATGTTTTAGGAAAACACAACACTACTGTTTCCAGGTCCATGAACCCCGTCCAACGAGGCAAACTGCAAGTGTGTACTAGAGCAATCGACGTACGAGAAGAATATGAAGACGCTGGATTAAGAGGACTATAAACGCTTTTAGGAAAATCGCTACATGAGCAGGGGCTATGTGCAATTTGGAACTTCGCAATCAACCATAAGTCGTCATTGGTGAGGAACTGTGTACGTTGAGGGTGAGTAGGTGTGTGAACACGTCAAGACCGTCTTGTGCCAACATTGGCCCCAGGAAATCTCACAGGGCCCTTTAGTTGGCAGGCTCCGGCGTGATCTCTTCTTCCGTGGTCTCTGCGGTGGGATCATGCTTGGGAGCATCAGGCAAGTCTTGCTTGGAAGCAGTAGATAGGTCCTCCGTAGGTGCGGCAGGGAAGTCCTCCTTCTTGGCACCGATTTTGGGTGTGGGGGAAGTTCCACGGTACTGGTTGACCGTCTCCTGGGCCTTTGCGGTGGCCTGCTGGGTGTATCCTTGTACCGTCTTCACGGCGTTCTCAGTGTGCTGAGCGGCAAGGTCCTTGACCTGCTTAGCCTGTTGGTTGGCAACGTTCAATCCTTTCTCAAGCTGAGCGTCTATAAACTCTTTGTTCTTGATGTAGACAAGGGGTCCGAGGAAGGTGATGACGGTGCCGATCAGGCTTAAGCCCCAGAGGGGAACGAATTTGATGAGGAAGTAGGACGTCAAAGAGGCGAAGAAGGCCTGTATTTTACCATCAGCAAGTGGTCACGAAGGATGCACATATGGCGGTGCAACTCACAGCAATGGTAACGTATACATTCTCAGCGAAGACCACGCGCTGGGACTCGATGACGAAGAAGTTAATAAGCTGCTCCACATCGTCTGTCATACGTTCAAGCGACGCCTTGGGGATGGTGAAGTATTGTCGAGGCCTGAACTGCGAGGTAAGGCCACGTCCAATCGCCAGTTGTCCAACAACCTCTGCGGTAGCGGTAGCACCAAGCACCAGGTATGAGGTCTTGAAGACGTAACGGATCAAGTTCAGGTATCGGGAGGCGAAAATGAGGATGACGGTCGTAGCGAAGGCGATAGCAGTTGCACGAGGGTTTTTCCAGCTCAGGAGGCGGTAGAACATGCTGTGGTAGTCTATTCGTCGTTAGCCGTGCTTCTGTCATGCGATTCCCGTGTATAGCTTACGGGTGAGGTTCTGGCCAGTGGCAGCCTTGTAGTCGGGAACCTGCTTGGAGTTTGCAAGGTCGGCGAACTCATCGCGAGTCTTTGCACCTTCAGCCTGGACGCTCTGTGCAACAGGACCTGCGGAATTTAGCATATGTGTCGTGTGCACCTATATCGGGCAGCTATATCACGTTAGTTTGTATTCTCAGATTCGGTGAAAGCTCTCCATGCACTCACCTCACCATTCATAACTGTCTCCTTCGCGCTCTGGACCGCGGGGTGGTTGTTTGCGGCGGACATGGCCTGGGATGCTGCTGCGTGGATGTTAGGACTGAAGAAGTGGTGCACATGGCCTGGGGGTGCGTGAGACGCAGATAAGACTGCGATCTATGGCGTTAGCTTGGGTCTCGGCAACGTCGGAGGCCTGTCACACATACCTCACTCTCCAGGATGCTATCCTTAGCCCTGATTGCACTGTTTTGCAGATTCTGCGTGCTGGGCGAGTTCTGCGCCGAGGTACCGTTGGTCTGCATCTTCTTGGGTGTGCTGTTCACTGTTTGCTGGAACTGATTGGTGGATGCGGATAGATCGAAATCTAGATCCGTGCTGTTGAGCTCGACACGCGGAGCTTCAGACATGATGGAGGTGGAGGGAGGTGTTTGTGCGTGAGCAAGTACAGCCAAGGTGGAGATGCTGGGCCGATGTGAAGCAAAATGAGGAGAAGGAGGAGGGAACAGTGGAAGAGGTAGAGGACGAGGATGTATAGATTGCGTGCAAAAGTCGGGGAGAGGCAAGGTTGCATGGTATTTGGGGCAGGCACGACTGTCGTGTGCGCAATGTTTTCCCTGTGTTCCGCAAATTATGACGAAATCGCAACAAACAAAAACCATGGCCTAGCCAGCCCGGTGTTCCATGTCCCAACGCCTCTTGATTCTTGAACCATGCAGGTTTCACAAAGAGTTTCGTCATGGCTACAAGATGGATCACTCAGCTCTGCCTGCAGCGCTTTCCTGCTGCTGTGACGGTGCAGCGGCCATTTGTTGCGACTTGCACACTGTTCTTTTGCTCACTGTCCGCTCTACATGTGGGCTGTGACTTTTTCCCTGGATGTTGGCTGTTTCACATGTGACAGCCGATTTTAGCGTGACATTTCAGGCCATGACGCCATGCCAAACTGGATGACTTCAGGCATGACGATGAGGATGGATGTGCGTTCTGGCTGGCAACTCGACGGTCTTGAAGTTCCATGTTCTCTTCTCCATGCTATACATGAATCTCAATCCAACGCCCTGGTCGAATGGCCGAATGTTATGTCATGATAGGCAATCATCATTCAGGGGTTCGTGACCAATACAGCTTCCTTGCGCCGATCGTCTGTGGAGCAGCGCATCGTTTGCCCGACACGGCGGTACAAATTACAATACTTGAAAGAAGCTCGACAAGCTCCAAGCGTTGGGCCATGTCATGGTCATGGTCATGATCATGGTGAATGTACCATGATCTCGAGCTGCCGTGGCGCTGACTGCAAGCTGTACATACATGATAGGTACATAGAGGAGTGCAGGTTTTGAGGATTTGGCTGCCACTTGTCATGTGCTTGACAGTCCACTAAGGACTATGCGTGTCTACCTAACCCAACGCTGGCAAACCTGTCGCGTGGGCCTGACGGACACATAGTAGGTAAGTAAGTAAGTAGGTAGGTAGGTAGATCAGTAGGTGGATCAGTAGGTAGGCCAGTAGGTAGGTCAACTGGAGGTAGGTTTTTAATAGTCAAGACATCGGTATCTGGCCCTATGCAACAGACGCAAGTCTCAATTTCATATGAGTGGAATTCATGTATTTATGTTCAGACACGTGAGCGTGTGTTTGTCTGTCTGGTACTCCATGCTTCCACATTCGTGCAGGTGTTCGGCTGCCAACCATGATCGCGATTGTTTCCATTCTCAGTCAAGTGCTGACTCTACTGTTACCATACGGTAGTAGCTATAGCAGCCTCCCACACACTCTACTGATACAAATTTGGCCTCGTATGAATGCTACCCACCTACCAATGCTACCTAACAGTACATCCTGGGCTCGTCCGCATGGGCAGGTACATGCATGGTATATCGTATACATAAATAACAACAATAGAGAGGGTGGGGCGAATGCAAGGCCAGCCAGTAGATGGGGCCAACAGGAAAGGTCGTAACAGTGCAGTCGGCAGTGTCAATCCAATCATGCAGTGATGGATGCAGTGATGGATGCAGTGATGGCTGAAGTGATGGCTGAAGTGATGGCTGTAGTGATGGATGTAGTCATAATGGATGCAGTGCCATGGCCTGACAGCGCCGCTGGCAGGTCAACCTTCCTCGCTCGCAATGCCTATCGCATGTGCTCAGTTACCCGAAGCAAACGACGGCGACGGCTCGGATCATCATCCCAACGTGCCAACGATGCCGGCGGGTAGATGGCGCATTTAACCACGTGTGTGTGTGTGTGTGTGTGTGTGTGTGTGCGGGTTGCAACAAAGCCTCGGACGACGCGGCTCCCTGTGTACCTACATACAATACAGCACATGCGGTGTAGACTGTAGACTGTAGATGTCCTCGTCGTGAAAATGAAATACCGTGCAGAGTACCATGTGGGTAAAACAGGTCCTCTTCTTCAGACCCCCAGGCCGGTGGTCTTGTTGTGGACGTGGTCCAAAGTGTTTGGTAGGTATGATGGCTGATGGCTGATGACCAACTGCGAGGACGACTGCGCCTTCCGCTTCGCTTCCTATTTTTTTGCGATAAAGGAAGGCAGGGACAAAAGCGGGGTCCCCTTGGAAGGCGCGGCGCACAGGCGCACAGGGCTGTCCGGCCTCCTTCCCTCCCACCTTGCCTGCCGCCATAAGACAGCGACAGTGTGGGGAGAGAGAGAGGCGGGGAAAAGGGGGGGGGGAAGACACACTGCCCTATAGATCTTAAGTAGACA